TGTTTGTTTTAATGTGTCATACTCGATGTATAGTGGCGGCAGAACAAATAGAAACGCCCTTACCAAAGTAGCTTGAACGCATTTTTTATCGGAATGGAAATGTGGATTTTTATAAGAAGTACATCACTTTGAAGGTATATTTAAGTACATCGTTTGCATACTTCCACATCTTGTAAATCTACCAGAATTGTATTCAACGTCGGGTTTGGTGAAAATGTTTAAGGATATATTCTTTCCCATTTTGACCTGGGAGGAACATAGGAGTCTACAATAATAATTGTAATTATTCTAGGTTCGTTTGACCAAATAAACCAGAAATATTGCCAATTTTTCAAAAACCGACTTTTAAATCCGTTCGCGACCAAGAAAAAATCTTAAACTTGCACTTTCTATTATATTGACCAGAAGCGTTGACATGTGGATACTTCCGTATGTGAATACGGACATATTTTTAAAGAGTATGGAGTTTACATTTTTATTATATTATCTATATGATTTAAAAACCATGATAAACCAAATGATTCCAGATTCACACAAATCGGAGTATTGGTTTGTAGATTACAGCAGCAAAAAACAAGCAAGATATTGAGAATAATTATTTGTTTTGTGTTCGAAGAAAAAATGCCATCATTTAATTTAATTCAAAAATTTTCAGAAAAAAATTCACTTATTCCTTTATTATGAATTTCTTCCAAAAACTAATATATATTTAAATAACAACGTGTGTATATGTGTACACCTTTCGTATTATAACAATACATTTCAGATAAATCTATAAATTTAAAACACTTTTAAACTAAAACTATATTGTGAAATATATATTTTAAATCGCGTAATCCACAAAATTTATCCACATGCGGTTTTTAGGAAGTATTGAAGGTTATCTTCCTATAAATTTATATTTTGGAAATTTTCATTTGACGGCTAAACATTTGATGTTAGTCGGTTTACTTATAGATAAAGATCACATATTTAACACTAGAACGCCGAAGGCAGTCATTTTGACCGCTTTCCAATTTCAAGTAAAAAAGCAACTGTGCATTTAATGAATTTTTTTTTTAAATATGGTGATTTTTTTATAATTAACGTAATTCTATGAGATACAAAAAGTCACCAAATTTAAAAAGAAAGTGTCATTAAATGCACAGTTGCTTTTTTACTTGAAATTGGAAAGCGGTCAAAATGACTGCCTTCGGCGTTCTAGTGTTAAATTCGTTCAAAAAGGCGACGTCTGATAGGATACATATTGCTCATTTGCTGCAAGACAGGCATAGCTCAAAACACGATTTTGCAGAAAATCCGTTTTAAGTTTTCAATTTACTCACACTTTATATGGGACAGAGGAACTTCTACGGCTTTTCAATTAGAGTGTGTAAGAGATATTCATTTGAATTTTTTACACAACATGAGGTCTATTATAGCGAACAATCGTGTATCATTAACTCGAAAATCTCGTTTTTATACCCTTCACCACACTGCGGCACAGGATTTTATGCCTTTGTGCATATGTTTGTAACAGGCAAAAGGAATGGAGATAGACACAGGGTTCCTTTTGAGAATATGCGTAGAATCACTTTCTGAGTCGATTTACCCATGTCCGTCTTTCCGTCCGTCTGTCCGTCCGTCCATGTATTCTTGTTAACAAAGTACAGGTCGCATTTATGATCCGATTTGGATGGAACTTGGCGCAGTTCACTTATTTGGCCAAGGACCATATTGAAATTGGAAATTTTATGTAAATGATGCACCAAACTCCCAATATTTGTCCGATTGGGACACAATTTTGCACAGCGCACTGAATCGGTTCAGATTTAGATATAACTCCCATATATATAGTCGTCCGATTTTATGTGAATGATACACCGACTGGCACAAAATTTTGCACAGAGTTCCGATTGGGACACAATTTTGCACAAAGTATTGCATTAGATCCAGACTGATGACTGCGAAGTTTTTTTTTTAAATCGGTTCAGATTTAGATATAACTCCTATATATAGTTTCGTCCGATTTTTTGTGAATGATACACCCAATATGTGTCTGATTGAGTAAAATTTTGCATAGCGAATGCTATTGAGGAAAAAATGATGCGTGATATAGTTTGTGGAAATCGGTTCAGATTTTGATATAGGTCTTATATATATTTTCGTTCGATTTTATGTAAATGGTGGTTACACGAAATTTGGCAGAGGGTATAAAATTGAATATAGTGATTACAAAAAACAAATGGTGTATGCAACGGTTACTCAATTAGGCCCATGTGTTTCTATATAGCTCCCATATATAATTTCACTCGATTTCATACAAATGGTTTACCAAAGAATCCAAGTCTGTCCGTTTGACATGCAGTTTTTCATTGATTTCAGAATGGTATGTGTTTTTTTGTTTTTTTTTTTTTTTTTGGTTCAAATATTTATCTAGATAGCACATTAAATTTCGCCCGATTACATCTCAATGGTCCTCCAAAGATTCTATGACCGTTCTATCTACAGGAAATTGTAGATAATACCATGTCTTGCATGTACCCAAAGTGGTGAAGGGTGTCATCACAGTCGGCTCCGTTCGACTTTTGAACTTTCCTTACTGGTTTGAGTTAAAGCTGTGCATATTATACACACAAAATATATGTCGAGTTCAAAAGTTCTATAAATTATTTTTGGAAATTCTTGTTTGCTCAAACCCGATCTTCAAAATATCAGTAGTATTCATTCCAATCTGATTTGACACGGATAATTTTAGTTTCTTTAATTTATATGTAACATGCATTGGGGAACAAAATAGGCCCGTTAATTTTGATTACATACTTCTGTTCAAGTATTTTTCTAACAGTGTACATTTTGAGTTCATTATCCAAATGAGATTAAATTTGAACCAAGGACAAATAATATTGAAATAATATATTCGTGATCAATAGAAATTTCTATGTTGATATTAACCTCCATACGAAATATTTTCAATATATATCGATGTTAAAGTTTAAAAAATCCTAGCATATTTTCACAAACAAAACAAAAGAAGTCTAGTTTTATAGCGTGACAGAATGGGTGTAGGTTTACAATCCATATTACGCATGAGTACCTCCAGACTCCGTTATTCGTTTTGGGCAGAGATAAGCTCTCGATACAAGCAATTAGATTTTTTGTCCTCCCCATTTTTACAAAACGGAAGTTTATTCCACACAGTTTTCCATTCATGATTCTGTGACGCTCCTCTTAAAGGATTTACAAATATATTGTTGCTGCTCATTTTAACGAACATCATATCACAAGGGTAAAATTGTACAAACAATAGCGTACTTAGACAATTTCAATTAAAATAATCCGGAATATTTTCAGCATATTGTCATTTTAGCGAACCCCTTCATTTGTATACGAAATCATTAAAAAGAGATTATGCTCCTGGCATTCGTTCTTTGAACAAACCAAACAAAATCAGTTTAAGAGGGGGTGAAGCGAACGCCATTCTTTGCCTTAAACATAAATGAGAAACAAAAGATTTGAGCAGCATGAAAACGTTTTTACCAACATGTATTTTTATTTCTAAATTTCAACGAAATTTCCAAATCTTAAAATGTTTCACTCCACATTGGATAAAGGGAGTGTTGGAAAACTTAAAGCAGTACAGCGAAAAGTATTTTCCATGCCTGGCCGGCGGTTGGCATTCGCCAGCAAACACTAAATCACCAACAAGTATTACGTATTAGAATCCCTGTACAACGCGGATATGCCATCTTTAAAAGGATGTCGGTTGACTACCAGCAATGGATTTAGCAACAATTGCCAAATTGTAACAACCAACAGGCCAAACACCCGGCTCCCTTAATATGACGCATTTTGCCCACATCCTGAGGCAGTTGTTGATGGTGAAATGCATGGAGACACGTGACTTTATTGATATCCTGCAATTGTATGTTTGGCGTGTGAATGTCTCGGCGAGAAACCGATGGCTGTGCAAATATACACCGAGAAACTACCCACCCTTAATCATGGTCAATGGAGGCATGATATAAGTGAGGGGTCTTAACAGGTCTGTCTATGGTAGGCCATAGATGACTACAACAACGCTAAAGCCCTAAGGGTAGAATCTAACACTTACGAAGGATTGACTTGGTCATAGTAGCATCTAGTCGTTATTGCTTTTTGTTTATCCCATTAATGATGATATGGGATATGCCGAGCACTTGTATTCATAAGGGATAATGGTAAAGAACAACGAAGCGATATACAGTGGGAAATGAAAAATCGATGTTGAATTTGGCTGACGCTGTTGTTAACTCCCATTTTTGTCGTGCTGATGTCTGAAAAATGCAAATGAATGTAATTTAATGAAGCTTGAAGTTTGATAAAAAATTATCGTGGAAAGAAACCAAATGAATGGTGGCTTTTCAGTTATGGTTAATCATATTTACTGTATCGCACGCTTAGTTTGAAGTTTTGATAAAACATTATTCTTATTAAATTCTTCTGGATGAAACTTAGGACTCATAACTGAATGGTCGTCGAAATTTGAGAAAATTTACCAAAAAAAAAATCACTTCCTAACACGCAAAAATTATAGTTTATATATAAAATTATAGTTATATTTTTTTCAATTTATTAAAAATGAATTTTTAATACCTCCCACTATGAGTTTCACACACAAAATATGTATGTAATATCGATCGTGGCTTTTATCTGTGCGTACTCTGCCATTGTAAATCGCTGCTAGAATAAACCGAAATATAAAACTACAGACTATCACTTTGGAAAATTATGCTCGAATCTTGAACATACCGAAATCCTCAAAATATCAATAATTGGAGATATCGTTTCATAGGGACTATAACAAAACGAGGACGGATGTTATAGATTTAACATCTAAAAATAAGTCAAATTATATCAAACTAGACCAATTCGGTTGAAAAGCTTCGCAACTACGCGGGCTCTTTTCCATTTTGTACAAATATAAAAATAGAAGAATGGCATTTCAATTAAATATTATTATTGGTATTCATTTTTTAATATTATAACTCGGTATATGTGTTGTTTCTTAGGACTATATTCCCATTGATGGGGTAATTCTCATCGTTCACATCATCATCGTCATCAACTAGGGGCCGAGTGAATTCATTCGAATATGCTTGCGATTTTTTCTTTGATTTGGTTCTGCTGGACTTTTTATTATTCTTGCTATCGGTAGTTGTGGCAGTGCCATTAAAAGTCGTAGCTACAGCCGAACTATCATCTTCGCAATTTCTTTTGCTAAAGCGTATTAAATACCAAGCAACGGCACGATCGCCGAATCGTCGATATGCTAAGCCGGCTACTATTATAATCACAATTGCAACAAAAATGCACAAAAGGATGGAAAAGCCATTATGAGGATCCTCTTCATGGGGGTCATTATCAAAGCTATATGTATTTATTTTTGGCTCAATATTGGTTTTTTGTGTGGGTGTTTTAACTGAAATGAAATTGAAATTATATAGGGTAGAAGTCAGAAAATTTTACAAATTTTAATTTACCAATAATTGGAGTTTCGGATGTTACAATGTGGGTGTTAGTTTTTTCAGTTGGCTTTTCTGGCTTCTTTGTTGTCGTTGTTGTTGTTGTAGTAGATGTCGGCCGAATAGTAGTAGTAGTTGTGATCTTTCTAGTAGTTGTAGCTTTGGTAGTGCTTCTTATCGTTGGAATTGGCTTTTTGGTCGTAGTAGTAGTGGTGGTGGTAGTAGTTGTTGTTTTCCTTGTTGTGGTAGAAGGTGTTGTCATACGAGTTGTTGTGGTTCTAATCGTTGTTGTTGTTGTAGGCGTGGTGGCAACTGTTGTCGTAGTAGTTGTTGTTGTTGGAATGACTTTTACTGTTGAAGTACTAGTCGGCACTGTCGCAGCTGTCGTTGTTGTTGGTGTAGCTGTCGTTGAAATATTTTGCCCCTCATTGTCATTCGCGGATGATTCCACAGTGGTTTGTTCAAATAATTCTAAACAAATACATTGAACCGAGATATAAGCAATGTCAAACACCAATAGATTTCAATACATACCTGTAAGACATATAGTCTTAAAATCAGGACAACAAGTGTCTGAATCTTCACAATCAGCAGTGCAACTACACAGCCCCATTAAAACCTCACCTTCCCTTAATAATCCTACTCCACCGCTCTTGAAACATCGATTAGCACATGACTGCATATCAAATATGGACTGATCTGCAAAAAAAAAAAAAATAAATAAATAAAATAAAATAACAACAACAACAAAAGTGAATTTGGGAGTTCTCCTTAAAACTTTACTATTACATACAAGTGGTTGTGTCATACTCTTCATTAGACGGTGTATCATCATTGCTTTTATCCAAAGCTTTACATTCGTCTCCCATCATTAGCCGTACATCGTCCACAGCAATATCACTTAGTTGAGTGCGACCGGATCTGGCAACAAAAATTATTTGAAAGTCTTCTTCTAATTCCTCAATGCTGAAATGGGCTTCATTCCATATATTGTTTTGTCCGCCATTTCTTTCGAATTTAATTAGAGTTGATCTTCTGTAATTCGAAATGTAGTGATTCAATTAGGTTACGATATACAACTGTAATAAACAGCAAGCGATGAAATATATAAAAAAAAAAAACAATTAAAAAAGTCCTTAAATTCGGCCGTGCCGAACTTTGGGTACTCTCAGCCATAGGTATACAGACAGTTACTGTGCATTCAAAATTCCTTAAATCGATCGGAACATTTATATGGGGAATATGTTATTGCGTTATGTAGTAATAGCTTGTTTACGTTCAAATAGTGTTCCAAATTAAAGACTCTCAAGTAGAAAAGCTTCAACATACCGAAAATAAAACGGAGCTTTTTTAATTTAATTTGTTTGTTCTGCAGGAATCCGATATGCCAAATTATAGTCACTTACATGAAAAAATGGTATCATTCTATGTGAGCTATTCCCAACATTTAACTGACATTGAAATTTATGGTGGGAATATTTGACACCCCATGGACATTTGAAAATCAAATAGGAGCAAATTCGGCTGAAAACCATTAAGGAAATTTCATAAGTCGAACCGACTATATAATACCGTTCACTACTTTAGGTATATTCAAGATTTGATGCTAATTATAAGGTATAGTAAGGTTTATGTACAATAACCTGTCGGTGAAATAAACGTAGCATCTTTGGGAAATCACTGACTTGAAATCGTACAAACGTAAATATGTGATCTATAAAGATGGATGGAATGGCATTCCAAATTTCTTCATAAATAACGATTTTTATGAAAAAAAAACATCGACTTTGAAGTGGCCATATAATTAAAACATTGTGCAATTTTTACTTTACTGCATTTTTTATACCCTACTCAACTATGTTGTCAGGGTATTATAGCTTTGTGCAGCCCTAAAAGGTTGTAACGCCGCGAAATATTGGTGCTAGACCCACCTTTAAGTATACCGACCACACACAGTTATGGACCAATCTTCACGAAATTTTGCATGTAGGATGGGTTCTGGCCAATGAAGACGCCTATTGTTTTTGGAAAAGATCGGTTAATATTTAGGGGATGAAATGGACCAAAAACTTTATTTTTGTCGGTTTTTCTGGTCGCTCCAGAGGCCGCAATTATGGCCCAAACACCGCGAATTTTTGCATGGAGAAGGGGATTGGGCCAAAGAAAAAGCGTGCCTGTTTTGATAAAGATTGGTCAATTTTTAGCGGATCAAATGGACCCTAACTTTTGTGTGAAAAATTACAAAAGTTGTATTGTATGGCGTATATATTTGCTCCTGAAGGATATAGACCCGAGAAGTCGATAGTGTATCGAAGAGGAGTGTTGACCTTTAAATTGATACCAATTGTATGGTCGTATGTACTCGGATGTGGGAGTTACACTTAAATATTTACAGGTGTTTATGTATTTATATATTATTTAGTAACCCATTACCACCCTAGAGGGCGGAAATATAGCGCTGATCATTTTGTAATTTTCCATGAGATTCCCGTTATGATGATCAGATAATAATTTTGGGATGAAGTGGACCGAAAACTTATTTTTTGTGTTTTTGTTTTCGAGTCGATCTCTAGGCCACAATTGAAAGCCCAACTTCACAACATAACCCACGGTAAAGAGAATCTGGACAAGTACAACCCTCGTCTACTGAATATTAGAAATATTTGTTGACATCTAGTCGGTTAAGAGGGTGCAAATATCGCGAAATATTGCCCAAGCTCAGAATATACAAACACAGAAAGTTCGATTTTCGTGGAAGTTGTGTAGGGTATCATATGGTCGGCCCCGTCCGACTATACTGGTCCGCTCACTGGTTTTTTAATATTTTTTAAAGAAACTCCTTAAATTTGTTAAATTGAGAAAAATAAGCACCGATGAAATCAATTACATATAAAAAATTTAAAATAAATCTGTAAAATCTATCAAAATTGGTAACAATTTGTACAGTACACCTAACATTCGGAAAATCGCCCTTAACCCTTTGTGGCCCAATGTTGCCCACAGGCAACAAAATGTTTTAGAGCTTATATTTAATATGCAGCTAGTAAATATATATTATTTGGATATCATATGTCAAGACCTGATTATGGTCGACACATATCAAAAGAAAAATCAACCAAATTCAAAATTTAGTAAAGTTATGAGCTTTTCAATATAGAGAAGAGGGTATATTTGTGTACAGTACTAATTTGTGTATACAGTCCAAATTATTTAAATCGCTTCGTATTAAAATTGTACGAGTTCTGGCATCAGAATTGTTTTTGATTCTTCTAAAAATGTATATAGAGAATAATTTAAAATGATTTCCTGTAGATTTTGCATTTGGGTTTCTTGATATTGGACTTTATTTTTTCCGAAAGAATGTACAGATGTAGCGATGTCAAATTTTGTGCATATCATATGTAGGATAGTTGCATTAAATCTGTGAACAGGAATACGGGGCTCAAAGGGTTAATATAGAAAATAAAGGTTCGAATGTACCAAAAATTGCTAGAATTAGTAGAAAATAACAATTAATTCTTAAAATATATAAACATTTGAAATAACAACTAAAAATGGGAATTAACCTAAACGAACGATTTGATTCCGAAAACCCTTATTCAAGAAGGCCGGAATATTTTTGCAGTATGTCAGGAAATATCGATTAATATTGGCATTTACCAAGATCTATTAATAAGGTCACCAACATAGCAATCGAAATCGGAAAACAGCTGTTTTTCTCAAGTCTAATGCCAAAAATTTGGACTTTGTTTACGTTTTCATAATGGAAGTCAATTCACAATAATGCATTTTGACAGCAAACTTGAGAGGTATCGATAATCAGCTGGTCTCCCTTGGTGACCTTATTTATAGGCCATGGCATTTACAATATCAAATCGATTGTGCGAGTAGTACAAAATATATTTTATCAAAAAATATATCAGTCACAATAGAGATAAACACCTCTGTTGACCAGTAAAAGTTTCTGCCACACAGCTGCATTTTTGATGCTAAACACTGGACCCCCAAAATCTATTAGACATGTCAATATTTTTCCAAAATTAACCCTTTTTCCGTCATCATAGAACGATATTCTGTTCACAGATTTAATGCAACTATCCTAGATAGGATATGGACAAAAATTGGCATCGCTACGTCATTGCATTCGGAAGATATAGTAAATTCTTTCTGAAAAAATAAAACCCCAATATCAAGAAAACCAAATGCAAAATCGATGAAAAATCATTTTAAATTATTATCTATATTCTGTTTTCAAAGAATCAAAAATAATTCTAATCACAGAATTCGTCCATTTCGAATACAAAGCGATTTAAATAATTTGGATATATGATATGTGTCGTCCAAAATCAGGTCTTGGCATAGGAAATCCAAAGAATGTATATCTACTAGCTGTATATTAAATATATGCTCTAGACTCATATTTAAAATATGGGCTTAATCAGGGATGGTCCGTGTGACGAATTTTTAGGTTTTCGACCGTCAAAAAGGTGTAAACGTCGAAAACGTCATATACCTGTCTAAAATGTAATAAATGTAGTAAACGTTGTTTATTTCAATATTATCAGCATACAAAGTTATTTTCAAGAATATATGTTACGTCGGAAATGTATGTCATTTACATCACTGTTTCTGACAGGCCATCTCTAGGCTTAATAATACTAATGCAAGTTTTTATGGTGTACGCCGAAATCGGATGTAAATATATCGTTTTAGAAATTATGGGCGTTTAAAAGTTTTCTTTAAACTTTTATCCACTGCCAAATTAATTTTGCCCAAAATATACATTGAAACCTTTCAGAAGCCGCATGCACATCGAATGGTTGTAGCGATTGTAGAATCAATGCTTATTTTGACTTCCTTTAATCGCGATTTGAGAAAAACCAAGAACTTTTTACTCGTTAGTGGAATATCTTACTAAGATGCTAATAATACATACTCATCATCGCTCAGCAGTATTTCATCCAAACTCATCGACAATGGCTTTACGACGACCTGTAATGTGCCCACACCTGCGCCATACATAAAATAATGAAATTGGAAGCAACAAGCTGTTTTCAACGACAGTTCTCTGCCGTATATCGGAGACCTCAACTCTACTGGCATATCCTGACTTATTAGACTTTCCATCAACATGTAATGGCCACCGTTGTGCGTCATGGTGGTGTGATCGGTGGGTGGTCCGGTTTTAAACGATGTAAATGCATTGGCAGCGGCCACTCGCTTCCATTCTAGATTTTTCATAGGTTCATATGACCAACCACAAACGTCGTCTGTTTCAAAATCGCAATCATGTGACACCTTGCCAGTTCGTTCTGTTGTTGAAAGATAATAATGTTAGTTATTAATGCAATGCTATACCGCTTAGATGGACTTACTCCGACATGTTCCAAGAGGACGATCCCAATGTGTTCCATTACAATATGCGTGTCGATTTCCCGCTACTATATAACTGTCCATACAATAAAGAACTGCCTTAAGATCTTTTTCATACAGCAATCGTCCATTATCGGGTGCAATTAAATCTTTTTGACATCCTCTTTCTATGTTTGAATAAACAAAAAACGAACAAAAATTAAAATTATGCGTGACATCAAATATGTGATTTTATTTTCACATCATGGTACAATAAGAAAAGGTAAGGATTTGATTCTAACGTAATACTAGAGTCAAATTTTCTTTGAAGTTTTAATGCTTTGTCATTTTTTTTTTCAAATTCAAAATTATAGCCACGGAATGCTTTATTTGACATTTCCATGTTGTCAGATGAATTCAATGGCGTACGTTCAGGTCTTGGAAGACAAATTATTACCATTTTGGGAAAGCAGCAACAATGAACAACTTGTTTTTTAGCAGGACAACGCACGAGTTCATAAAAGTCGTCATACTCAAGTATGGTTAAAATCGAAAAATATTAAAATTTCCGACCAGAATCCGATCGAGAACATATGTGGAATCTTGACTCATCGTGTCTATGCAAAAAACCGCCAATACCAAACTGTATTTTACCTCCATGAAGTGATTATCGATGAATGGCGGTCAATCGATGAAGACTTGCGAAAAATTTTGATCAACAGTGTGATGGATAAAATTTTTGAACTTATTCAAAATAAGAGAGGCCCTACCCATTATTTGTAAAAGTTATTTTATTTAAGTTTTAAAAAATAAATTTTTCTAATATTGTATAGGTGCGTCTATAGCTATGCAAAACCAGTAATTTTGACAGTGCAGAATTCGGCGAAACCATAAAGAATAAATTAATTATTTTTGTTGAATAATATGTGTTTTTGATCGTTTTATAGTGAACCATAACTTATTGTGTCCATTTTATTTGTCAACTAACATGCCAATTGAATTAGAGGTGCGGCTATAGTTATGATACGCAGTGTATGTTATATGTATGACGAAAATCATCAATGGACCTACTTAAAACGTACCTGCTGTTTTCGCTGAATAAAAACATCCATAATATAATCATAAATGTTCTAATTAGATACAAAACTATACATAAAGACATCAACTTTTAATATTCATTACACAATAGGATGGGCGCTATCATTGAATTTGTAATACATTCAAATGTAAGTAGGGGATTTAATGGAGTGCATATATACATTTTCGATCAGTGAAAGTTTATTTAGCCGTGCGCATTCGTTGCTGTTAAAAAATAATGTCCATTGGCTTAACTGAAGAATCTTTCTTGAATCGCCTTATAGTTATTTAATAATTTTTTAAAACATCCCTGTAGGGAAATGATCCAGTTTTAAACTAATCTTAAAATATTCACTACTAGTCCATTTATCGATCATTTTCCTTGGGACCAACTGACTATTTTTACATGGCGATAAGCAGGGTAATAGTCAGTCACTTTTCAACTTGTTAAAAACTAGTTATTTTTCGGCCGATTTATAGTTAGATTAAGAAAGTGCAGATATTCATCAGATATATTATATATATATATATACCCCTTTATTTTATTTCAAACTTAAAATAAATAATTAAAATACAATTTACACTTCTTTACTCTTTAAAGTTTCAAGCAGAATGGTTTTTTCATAAACTAATCTTAAAATATTCACTACTAGTCCATTTATCGATCATTTTCCTTGGGACCAACTGACTATTTTTACATGGCGATAAGCAGGGTAATAGTCAGTCACTTTTCAACTTGTTAAAAACTAGTTATTTTTCGGCCGATTTATAGTTAGATTAAGAAAGTGCAGATATTCATCAGATATATTATATATATATATATATATATTAATATATATACCCCTTTATTTTATTTCAAACTTAAAATAAATAATTAAAATACAATTTACACTTCTTTACTCTTTAAAGTTTCAAGCAGAATGGTTTTTTCATTATCTTGCATTCTTTGTTGTTGAAAGTAATTCTTTACGGCCGTTAGAAACCGGTTTCTTGTTTTGCGTGTGTTATGTTTTTATGACACGAGCATATTTTCATTTCAACGCGAACGACAAAATTAGCACCCCGCACTGATTGTTTGTTAACCATTTATTTATTTTTCACACTATTTGATATAATTTTCATGCATTTTTACACTTTTGTTTTTGAAATTGGAAAATTATTTACATATTTTTCATAGTCAACCATGGTATAATAATAAAAGGTAACATCAAGTGTTGTTGTACAAAAAACGATACAACAACCGCATGGAAAATTGTTGTTGTAAGTTCTACTAGTGTCAACTCATTTGACAGAAAAATGTAAACAAACAAATTATCATCAAATTATTTTTATTTTGAAAATGGAATATTTTTGAATCCTCAAAAAAAAAAAATTGAAAAACATGAATGAAAATCTATCAAATTTATATTTCTATCGCTTCCACATCTTTCCTTTAATTGAGCCATTGCCATATACAGTGGTGGTCACACAATTAAAACATTTATTGTGGTAAACATTTTTTGATCAGCCCTCGATTCATTTGAAGTATTTTTGAAAATTTTTTAATTCAGAACTCTTCGATATACTGCACTTAAGAGATTTAGTGTGAAAATAGAAAATTATTGCATGCAATTTTTCCATAAATAACGCTGCTCTGTGCCATAAAAATTTACTAGTGCCAATATCAATCGATATTTTCTCACATACTGCAAAAATATTCCGGCCTTCTTCAATAAAGACTATCGAAGTTGAATCGTTCCTTTAAGTTAATTGCCATTTTTTACTAATTCTACCAATTTCTTGTGCATTCGAATCTTTATTTTCTATAACAAAGGTGATTTTCTGAATGTTAGGTGTACTGTACACATTTTTGGCAATTTTAATAAATTTAACAGATTTTTTCAAAATTTTTTTTCTATAAATCATTTTTTCGATGCTTAATTTGCATAACTTACCTAAATTTAAATGATTTTTTAAAAATATTTTCAAAAAATGCAGTAAAGTTAAAAAATCACACAATGTTTTAATTATGTGGCCACTTCAAAGTCGATGTATTCTCATAAAAACCGTTATTTATGGAAAAATTGTATGCAATCATTTTCTATTTCCACACTAAATCTCTGAAGTACAGTATATCGAAGTGTTCTGAATTAAAAAAATTTCAAAAATACTTCAAACGAATCGAGGGCTGATCAAAAAATGTTTACCACAATAAATGTTTTAATTGCGTGACCACCACTGTATATGTGTAACACATATGACAATGCTGGGAATAGCGAGTTATTCCTTCAAGAAAGATTTGCTTCCTCAAACTTTCCCAGCAGGCAGATTGAGTAAATTGAATACGGGAACACATTAATAAAGAACAATCTCAAATTGTATGCGTTCCCAATTTTCCTGTTGGGTGATTTTTAAAAACATAATTTGTCAAATTCATATTGACACTAGTATAACGTTGGAATCAAATCAGCTGGGATTTGCTGTTACCTTTTATAATTGTACCATGATAGTCAACTACGTTTTTATTAGAAATCAAATATTTTGACAAAAAATGTAGATAGCAGCTGGGCTTACTGGATGACCTATTATATAGACCTTGATGATACCTTTTATAATTGTACCAATTTTTTCACATTAAAAATTATTGGCAACAAGCTAGAGTTTACATCGAAGGTAGACACATTAATGAACAGCAACTGTTATTACTGTCCTATATAATAGTACGTTTACATTGTACTGGATTAAGTTAACCCAGTGGGTTCAAATTGTCAATTCCATTGTATATATGTCAAAAAAATCCTCATAAGGTAGGTTATCCATTTTAATGGATATTTTTCCTAAAAACCCCAGAAAGTGGTCCAATATTGACGACGCATGGTAGGGTGGAACAACCCCAAAATAGTCGGATTGAAAAGGTTGAATTTGGATTCGTTGGACCCGATCACACGTTTCCAGTCGACCACTGTTCAACTTTTGGGCTCGTTGAAAATTTGTTACCCTGAATGCAGCTTTTTCCGATAATACAGGTTTTTGTTTTTTGTACTGCTGCTATAGCCAATGTTGGGAAGGGCTCTTCACACCGATTAACAGGTTTGACAAGTATTAAGACATATCAATTCACTTTTCCGTGGGTCCGCACAACTTAGAAGCAAACTCAATTTGAAGTATGGGAACAACGGAACATCGTTGTTGTAACCACTAATTGGGACGATTTAAATCTCTTTTCCACTTCCAGGGTAGAACAACTTCTTTCACTCGAGACCCGCATGGCCTCTTCAGTGGTTATTAAACATTTTTTCATGATTTATTATTTTTAGTTAATTAAAAAAACTTATATTTTCTTAAAAAATAACTAATAAAAACCCAACAAGATTTAAAAAAATGTGTTTTTGCAATCATTTTATTCAAATTATTCATAGAAATTTTAGAGTTTCGTGTTTGGGTTGTTTTGTTAAGTACGAAATCTCTATCTCTATATATAAAAATTACGTGTATTTTTGTGATCGCTAAACTGAAAAACTACTGCAGCGATTTGGACCAAAGTGTATGTACATGTGTGAGGAGTGGCGTGAGGAGTGTTTCTGTGTAGTTTGTAGTTCATCCGACAGATGACGCAATTGTTTTTTGTGTTTTTGCAACGTTACACAAGAACTACTACGCCGATTTTGACCAAACTTTATGTATGTCTGATTTTAGGTACTTTGAAAGTAGTAACAAATACCCTATAAATTGCCTTTAATTCGGTATTTCATGTAGGGTAAGGAACTTATCTGTAAATTGTGGGTATAGTACTTTATGCATATGTCCCAGATAATGGTAGGCATATCGGCCCAAACGTTCTTTCAATTTTTTCTTTCATAAAAACTTTCCCACTTCAATTACAGATAACAGAAAGAAATTTTTGGTCAATTCGGTCCCGCCGTTCTCAATTGATGAGTTGCTATACATTGTTTACATAATTTTTATAATCTTTTTTTCGTTTGCCTCCCACGCAATTTTCACGATCACGAACATACACGTAATTTTTATATATATAGAGAAAAGATTTGGGAAGTATATATATATATATATATATATCCAAATTAGAATCCTACATGAAGACAATTGCGCATTAACTTATATGTGCCTTTAT